CACTCAACTTGAATGTGTCATTTTTCCCAGATTTACTACAATTAACTCCCAGTTAGGGATGTCATTGTGAATCCATTGGCATTTTGCAGTGGGATATTAATTTCAGTCTTTTTTAGATTGATCAGGTCATAAAAGTCACCATTGATTGAAATTTAAAACAATATAAGAATCTCTCTCAAAAAAAGCCATTTAAAATACATTCTTTTTTTATGTGCACACTTTTATCCCCTGTTATATTTAAAACTTTGAACTACCGAGAGAAATTAAGCTATACCAAATGGCGAACAATATTTTATGGGTGACAAATGTCACAAATTGACCAGGATTTAAGCTCCAACTTTTCATATTGGGTCAAAAGGCAGCCAGATTTCAATAATAATTTTTCAGGTAGATCTTCTGAGGGTTTGAAGAAACATGAAAATAAGAGAAGTATGGATCTCTTAACTAAAAACACAAAATGATGTGGCATGACTCAAAACCTTAGCATCGCAATGTATAGTCCCCATCTTCTCCATCTCGCTCACTCGGCCACATGCTGTTCTTGCAACCTTGCACTGTGCTTTGTGCCAAGTGTGATTTCACCAGGGCGGTCAGAAGGGGTTTCTAGGGCAACCTCACAGAGGCCTCGTTCTAAAAATGGCCACCATGGTTACTTTGAAAGCCAACTCTGGCCTCTTGAACATGTGCTGAAAAGAGCCGAGAGCGCCACTCTGGGAAGGGATCTGGGTGGATTGGGTAAGGGGGAAACCAGGCTCTCTAATAGCTAGCACATGAGACACTGAAGGTTTCATACCCACCCATCCAGGAGTTATGGGAGGTGTGTGCATGTGTGTGTGTGTGTGCCTAAGCAGTAATATCCCTGTACTCAGCGCTTGGCTAAATTAAAAGGGCATTTCTGGCACAAGGGGCATTTTTTGGTGCCCAGACGATTGGACGGGGAAAGGCGAAACTCATTACCTACCCATCTGTCAGAGAGTGAGAGTGAAAGAGCTGTGGGAATGTGGACTGATGGAGGGAGGGATGGAGCAGAGAGGGGCAGATAAAAAAGGGCTTGGAAGGTGAAAGAGTGAGAACGTCCGATAAAGCAGAGGGAAATATGACAGAATCACCCCCACAACCACCTCCAGCTTCAAACCTGCAAGTCTTTTATCACCAGTTAGTTTCCATGTGTTTTGAATTTTACAGTGCATCGCCGTTAATTTTCCCTTTGAGAAAGAAAACATTTGCAAAAGAAAGTGCAGCTGCCTTTGTAACCTTCTGCTCAGAATGTGTGCGTGTGTGTTTGCTTGCATCTGAGGGTGATTTTTCTTTGAGCTCTCTCAGCTCCCACATGTTTTTGATGTTCTCTGTTTCTTTTTTCCTCTCAACCAGGGGCCACTCTTGAAATTCTCTTCACACAAACAAACACGCACTTGCAAACACACACTTATACATGCGAAAGGTATCACTGATTATCAAACGCTCATTTTCCCATTTGTGAGTCGCATCGCAGTAAAATAAGTTGTTTTCTTTTCTCTCTCTCTCCTCCATGGGCCAGCTGCGGCATGTGAACCTTTTTGTCTCGTTTAGGATTGTTTCAGTGCGGCTCCTTGTTTCCCTCCGTCTCCCGCAGCTGTAGACATCCAGGCTTTGATCACAGCACATGCGAGGAGCTGCCATATTCGATCCACACCCCTCTTGTGTGGATATTGTTAACGAACATGTGCTTCCTCTGCCAGCTGGCTTTCAGAAGGGGAATGCATATCTCTGTGGCAATGTTTTGCAGCTCTGCCTTGCATCATATTTGCAGCCAACACTTTATAGTTCTGCGGATAAAGAATTAACAACCGGGCTAACTGGCATATTCTGTGACAGTGCAATTTATATACAACCCATCCATAAATTCAGCCATATTTTCAATAGGCACTAAGTCCTTGCAGTTCTAGCACAGGGAACTAGAGGGAGTTTACTCTCCAGATATGCTTGGAGCAGATAACTGAAGAGATCCATTATGGGACTTGGGGAGGAAGCTGGAGTATCCAGAGAAGATGGATGGGTGCCCAGAGAGACATACAAACTCTGCTCCAGCAGTGTATTGTCATTCTTTTTTTTACTGCTTAGTAGAAAACTCAGAACGTTCAAAAGATACACAAAATCTTACAAAAGTAATTGGGATCCTTGACCACATTTTGTTGCTAAAAGCTTCTATTCTGGGATCATTTTATGTGAAACCAACACAAAGGAGAATGTACTTTTGAAGTCAAAGAAAATTTTAGTTTTTTTTATTATTACAAGTCAGACAGTTGTGGTGTGGTTTTGCTAGTGACCATCCCGAGATGGATATTTTGTCTAACCACTTTTTTTTATTGTTCCTATTGTCTATCATTTTATTTTAGTTTATTTTTATCAGCTTTATACATCTAGATATACATTCCTAGAATTTCTATTGATAGTACTTTGAATGTAGGCTCCAACCAGAATACCATGTTCCACATTTTTGCTGTCTTGTTGCAAACCGCCAGTGGAACTTCTTTTGGTCTATCAACCAAGGCTTTCTTCTAATCATTTTCCCATAAAGGCCAAATCTATGAAATCTACCCCTAATAGTTTCCCTGTCAACATATTCTCATACCTAACACGGGGCTCTGTACAGAGCCTCCACAATTTTCATGCAATTGCTTCTTCCCACATTAACAGTCTTCTTGCATGGCCTGTTGCTTTGGACTGAAAGCCAGGTCTTTCAGATGGTGGATGGAACAGTGCTCCATGAGAAGCTGTTTTATAACCTAACCTTGGTTAAACTTCTCCTGAAGGTTATCCCAGGCCTGTCTGCTTGGTTGTTCCTTGGTCGTTATGACATTGTTGGTTCACTAATGGTTTCTGAAAACGTGGACATTCTTAATAGGACACCTGCATTTAAACTCAAATTGAATTGCTGACAAGTGGCTCATCTAAGCACTGGTGGATTTCAGGGTCAAATCAGACTAAAATGGGATAAAATAAGCATACACCCACTTTTGGGGAGGTTTGGTGGAGTTTCTGTTCATAAAATATCCATGTATGTTTTTTCCTTCTAGCAAGAAAATATGTTAAAGGTTTTGGTTTTTATGATTACAATATGTGCAGATGTTTCCAAAGCACTATATAAGGTCTCTTAACGCCGTGCTTTATTTTTACATGTGTCCTGAGGGCATAAGCAAGGGTTATGATCTTTTGTTTACCAGGCTTTTTTGTATTCTTCACATCCACCTGCGTTCTGGCTGCATCTCTAAAGCACAGAGGATGGAGAGCCACGTTGACCTGACCTCCGTTTAGCTTGCTTGTGCGATCATTTCCATCTATAACCCATGAAAAATTCAACCCTTGCTCCTCCCCTCTCTCACCAGAAAAAAACCCCACTTTGATGTAGATGCATTAACACATGCTTTACATCGAGGCTAGTCAGCGCTCAGCCCTTTGATAAACACATTAAAGATATGTGTGTCTTTTCCTGGTGCACATGAATTGCACATGTTTCTCCTGAGTACATAAATGCATTCATAAAGCCGCACCAAACCCCTCCCATTATTAATAAGTCATGATCTCACACTGCGTCCCGGCACTTGGGCGCACGCCTCAATCTTTCATGTGCTCACGAGTGTGTGTTTTACAGCCGGGGGACCCCACCTGGCTCATTCATATTCATCCCTGCATAATGAGTAGCCACGCCTTCGGAAACACAGTCAAAATGAGATCAAACAACATTTTCGAACAAGAGTCTGTATAATTCATGCTGCTATAGGCGTGCTCACCGCTTCCTTTCTTTTCCCAATTCCGCATGTCGTTCATCGGAAGTTCCATCCATCTGGGTGGATTTCTGTCAGATGAATCCTGATAATCATATTCAGGTGGATCATATTACAATCAAAATATTAACAAAAAGTTGAGCTATTAGTTCAAAAGATTAACTAATAGCGCACATTTTTCCAAGCTGCGATTAATGGGCACAGAGCTTGATAAAACACATTGGACCAACATCAGGAGATAAAATGGCTCCAAAAATTATCACTGATTGTGGAAAATTCACATTGAGTCTAATGCAACATAGACTGTGTGCCTCTTCTATAAGTATAAGGAAGTTTTAGTTTCCAAATTAATTGCAAACATTAGACGAAGCTAAAAACAAGACTTTGGACCACTGAACAAAGGACCTTTTTTTTCAAATGGGATGTTGCTGATGTCTCTAGTTCAGGAGCTTTTTAACAAAAAATTAATGGGATACAAATGTGTGTGGTGGCTTTGAAGCTCTGATTCCTGCCCAGTCCACACTTTGTAAAGCTCCCCAAACTTTTGAATGGCTTTACTATACAATCACTTTATGTCACACTTGCTGCTTGTGAACTTTTTTCTTCCATCTTACTTTCCATCCAAGACTAAGGATGTAATAGTTTGAGAAAAGTTAGCTTCCTTAGAAATGCACTTTAGTGATTTGCTCCCATTGGGCAGAGTGTCAATAACTGTCTGCTGAACATCTGGACAGCTAGCAGTCCATATATCATGTGCTTTCATATTCTCACAGCAAGACATTCCTATCTTAAAAATCTGTAATATTATGCAATATTCTAATTTTCTCATTAAATGTTTTGGTCATTAATCATCACAATGAATCAAAATAAAGACTCAAATATCAGAAATGTCATTACTTTTCAGTGTATTCTACATTGTTGAGCTGCACCTGTATTAACATCCGGAGAGTGTTTGGTCTTCAATAATGTCACTTAAAAAAGAACACATTCATTGAGTTGATCAAGCAATTCAATTTGCAGGTAACTGATTCTGGATGCTGTGCGGACACAGAGCTCCTGACATTATCGAGCTTCTGCTTAGAAATGATTGGTTCAAGCAGCAAAGGCAGCAGTAGGAGTATAAACTAGTACTGAAAATCACTTCTAATAACAACAATAATAATGATAACAACCCACATCTATTGAAAGAAAAGTATTTCTATAAAAATTCCTCTCCCTTTTCCGATTTTTCTCCAGGTTTCCACCTGAGCGGCACGGTGACAGATCCCGCCACGCCTTCGTCCCCGGAGCTCGTCTGCAGCGTCAGCGTCAGCTTCGACCGCTGCAAAATCACCGCCGTGACGTGCACTTGTGGCAACAAGGACATCTTCTACTGTGCCCACGTCGTGGCGCTGTCACTTTACAGGGTGCGCAAGCCTGAGCAGGTCAAGCTGCACCTGCCCATCTCGGAAACGCTGTTCCAGATGAGCAGAGACCAGCTGCAGAAGTTCGTCCAGTACCTGATATCGGTCCACCACACCGAGGTGTTGCCCACGGCGCAGAAACTGGCCGACGAGATCCTGTCGCAGAACTCTGAGATCAACCAGGTTCATGGTGAGGAAACCAGTGTGTGTTAGAGGGTAGTAAGGATAACATGCCCGTCTGCAGTTGACGTGTACTTTCCTGCCCCTACAGTCATAGATATTGATTGTCGGATGAAGGTAAAGTATGACAGGATCAATGTTACTTATTAATGAGATCCATGTAGCAGAGCAGAGACTGTAATCAACACTGTAGACCAATTTAGGTCTTAGAGGAAGATGAGGAAAATAAAAGCAAAGCAAAAGATAGAAAGAGAAACCCACTGGGGCAGGAAACATAAGACTACTAAGAAAGAAGATGAGCTACTGCTGAGTAGCTCTGACGAGAAAAAAGAGACATCAGAAATAAAGACACAGGAAACTGACTTGGAGGAAGGAAATATGAGGAAACCGAGGGAGGGGGCCATGAAGAAAAGAGTTGTGAGAGGAAGAGACAACATGAGCAAAGAGATCAGCGAGACCAAAGAAACCTTTTAACCTTCTGAGAAAATCTCTGCAAATGTAAACCAAAGGCATTTTCACAGTCTGGAGAATCAGTTTCTGAGCTGCCCTGTCACACATGTGCAAGGGATTAGGAGATTGTTTAGTTCAAATGCATTCTGCAAGCAAGAAACAGTCTGTCTTCTCGTCAGAAGAAAATGCAGGATCCCACACGATGCTTTGCAGTACGTACTTTTAATTGCTTCAATATCTACAATCTAGCACTGCACTGTACATATTAACTTCTTAAACAAAACACTTTATTAGCATTCTACAAATTCACATAGGGGAAACTACCAACACTTGGCTCTTCTGCCAAGACTAAAGTCCAGTCAGTGGCTTAAAGATATTTTCAATAAAATTAGAGAAATCAAACTCTTAAAATTAGTACATTGTTAAAAAAAAAAGTCCCATGTTAGTTTGTCTTTTTGTTTTGTTTTGTTGATTTTTTTTACAAGAATGCTGGCGCCATATTTATTGGTGCCTCTAAACATTCCTATTAAATAAATATAGATGAACCATTCTCATCATTGATAAGTGCAGCAGATATGAGGATCCCAAGTGAACAAAATGGCTTAAACAGAGACACTGAAGCAACACTTTTGTGAATTATTTTATGCTGTTGTCATTTTAAATCAGATCAATACATGTTTGTATTATTCTTAAGTTGTATTGTACTTCTAGTTTTGAAAGATGTTTCTTTTTATTTGTAGTTTTAAAACTCACCAAAGACGTGAACTAGACTTCAGACAGAGTACTTATGGCTAGGATAATGTTTTTTGTTTGTTTTTTTATGAATGTTGCATTTTTAAAAATAAATTGATTAAATAAATTCTAAAGAAATGAACAAGCTTGACATCGCCAAGTCTCCATAACAAAAATATATTTTACAGGTTTTACTCATTTTCACCAGGGATGGCATGATCATAGAGATCAAAGAGATCAATGCTGGTGAAGAACAGCACATTCAGGGAAACATTTTGTGTCTAGGTTGTTGGGGGACTGTTTGTCTTTAAGATCAAACAAAAAATATACAACACATATCCTGCCTTGGTGTGAAATAACTTACTCTCCACCTCTGAAGCTATATTTGTCATCAAAACAGAAGGCTATGGAGGATATACAAGTGCTATGTGCTTTAAGTGTGTATTTGTTTTGCCCGCATAGGGGCCCCGGACCCTACAGCTGGAGCCAGCGTAGATGACGAGAACTGCTGGCACCTGGATGAGGAGCAGGTTCAGGAACAAGTCAAGCTCTTCCTGTCCCAGGGAGGCTACCACGGCTCAGGAAAGCAGCTCAACCTGCTTTTTAGCAAGGTTGGAACCGCGTTCATGTCGATTCATCCAGAATCAGAACAGAAAACACACTCACACACAGCCTGTGTAGGTTTACGTCCCTCCGTGGGAGCTTTCTTGGGTCCTTTCAATAGACATTTTCTCCCACTCTCTTGTGCATTTTGCATCATCCTTTACTCCCTCAAGAAATGGGAATAAAAGAAAGCACATAATGCACATACATTAAAGGGCAGGCCGTGTCTTAGCTCAGGCTAATTGTAGGAGTGAGGGAACAGAAGATAAAGGGAGAAAAAAAAACGAGGTATAGAAAGTGGGAAGCCTTGCACTACACACCGTATATTAAACGCTTACATGAGAGATGTTTGCCTCACTCAGTTGCCTGCTATTACAGTGGCTGAGCAAGGCCAGCATTAATGCACTGTGTGCTATGTAAAGACCGCAAGCCAAGGCCATTATCATCCAGCTCGCCTGGCTTTTAGAATGTCTCTCAGCTTCATGCACTCTGAAGCAAGTTATCTTCTTTAATATAACACACACACGCACACACAATGACAGGCATGTTTTCTCAGCCACCTTGCACAGATCCTTAGGAGCCCACACAAAGCTGCGTCTGCACACTTGTAATTCAATAAAATCCTTCCCAAACAAATAAGTGATTAGCAAAAGTTAGGAATCCATTCTCTCTCTTTTTTTTATCCCAGACCTTTTTTTTTGGTGTATGTTCTTTGCTTTAAAGAATATACAAACCTTTTGAGAAATTGCAAAAAAAAAAAAAAAAAAAAACACCCAACAAAAAACAACTATTCAGGCAAAGTTGAAAAGGTTTTTGAAGCTTAATTCAAGTAAAGCAGAAAGGAAAAGGCAAGGACACGGAGAAAGAGCTCTTATGAATACTTCAGAGCAAACCCAAGCTTTATAAAATGAGAAGAATTTCATCACAAGTCTCGTTGAACAGTTTTTTTTATTTTGTGGAACAATTTATTGAGTTGATCATGAAGGTGGTGGTCATGAAAGCTGGCATGTGTTTGATGCAAATTTTGCATTGATTTTGTTCAAGACTGGCAAACATTTTTTATTGGTTTGTTTGCAGTTTTCAACAGCTTCAACATTTTCTATTGGAAAATTAAGTCAAAGTTTTTCTCAATCTGTCAGGTTATTTAATAAATTGACTCACAAGTTGGCCTTGAAAAAGCACAAAAAATAGCAATCATTTTCTATGACTGAGCAGCAGCAAACAAAAGTACCACTTTTTAACGCATGAAGCTTCATACGTCCATGCTTTTTGCGTGCATCAGGCATACAGTATGTTTAGGATTTTAAAAAGTTTTAAAACTGCATTCTGGTAGATTTATGCCCTACTAGCCAGAAAACAGAGAGAGTGTCTGACAAGGAGATTCCTCCGGCTATCTGAAGCAACACAGCTTCTCCTTGTTGCGCACTGCCAGTCAGCTGGTTGAACGAGACCTGCTACAATTTGACTGAAATAGGCTGTTTGGAAATATTGCCAGTGACACTCGAAATTTCAAATATTCCGTCTAACAAGAGCGTTAGAAAAAAAGAAATTTGTCAAGTGTACTTACAAAATTTTTTGTATACGTGCCAATATAAAAGTACATAAAAATAGCTAAGTTTTTTATACCCCCACCAAAATTTATTTTCATTCTGAAACTACACTTCATTGTTTTTTGACTTTCAGCTAATTGAAAATTGACTATTCATTTTATTAATTTTAAATATATACCTGTCTTTGGACAACATTTGAATCTATGTCTTAAAAATTAACTGACCTGATTTAGCAAAGAAATGTTTCTAGCTAGAAAAGCACATTCCAAAGCTTGCATAGCTCAGGGGTAAAGAAAAATAACTTATCCAGCTTCATCTACATTTTATTTAAAAAAATGCTTCTTAATAGTTAGTAGGATAGCTGTTTTTTGGCATTAAAACATTCAAATGCTTCTTGTAACAACTAAAAGGCCTCCAATAATAAGTCTTCCCTTTAACTAAGAATACAATAATCAATTTTTTCATGTCATCACACCATGATAATCTCATGCCAGCCCATCTAGACTCAAAGTAAATCAGGATTAATTGAACTTTTGGATAAAGTCTGTATTGTTGTTGCTATCCTTTGGAAATTTACAAAAATTATACCACAACCCCACCAGAGAAGAGAAACCTCAGAGGAAGAGGAAGCTTATAAATGGCTGCAAACCTTTACAAAGACAATAAATGAAGTAAATGTGGCAATATTGTTTTCATATTCTGAATTTAGTCATTGTAGCTGAAGCATGAACATGTTCAGCTATCATATCCGCTGCTTGTTGTGCATGTCCTGGTATAAATTGTGCGTGTGTGTGTTTCTGTCCCATCCATCCCTGTGTAGGTGAGGGAGATGCTGAAGATGCGCGACTCCAACGGAGCGAGGATGTTAACACTGATCACAGAGCAGTTCATGGCCGATCCTCGGCTGGCGCTATGGAGACAGCAGGGCACCACCATGACCGACAAGTACAGACAGCTCTGGGACGAGCTCGGTGAGGGGACCAGGGGGAGACGACAACAACATACACACACACACACACACACACACACACACACACACACACACACACACACACACCTCTCCCCCTGTATACACAGGAACTGACAGATTTAGCAAGATGGGTGATCGAACCCAGACGTTGACACAAAGGCACACAGGCATGTTTTTGTTTCTGTTTGTTTTCTTGTGCTTTTATGTCCAAGAAAGCCCACAGTCTCCGATGCGCTGACTCGTCGCTGACAGCCCGGTTCCTCTCCCTCCCTCGCTGTGACTGTAGCTCTGGCAGCTCTAGATGAGATCTTCTTGAATTAAAAGCTGTTTAATGCAGCACACAGAGCCTCACTTCTGCAGTGTTTTCAAACATCTCTCATTATATTTGTGGTAGATGTGACAGAGAGCCACTCGGCACAAGCCGACTCGGTTTGAACCCTCCAAGCCCTTCAACGCCTCCCATCATTGCTGCTCTCCCCTACCGTTCCTGTTGTCGCCGTCGATGTCAATGATGAAGATGGTGTTTTTCCTCCTCTACACTCTGTGAAGGCAGCGTAGTGATCTCGTCTGTTTCAGTGCCATGTATTTTTGGACTCTGAAGTCTGAACTTCAGACCTTTCTTCCAGAGTCCTTATCGCTTCCCTTGATGCCTCTCGGCACAACTGTCCCCACTTTTGTCTTTCTCTTCTTTTGAGTCTCAGCTGAAGCCACAACCACTCGTCCTTGCCCATGTCTCCGTGATATATACATATAAATATAATTTTTTTTTTTTGTGTTGCAAATCATTTCCACTCTTTTCTGTCCCCATAGTCTGCACATTCCGTTTCGTCGGTTTCAGCCTTCACATCCCTTCTTTTGCCCTTGTTTGGGGTTTTTCTCCCCAAAATGTTTCTGTCGGTTCACCCGCGCATCTGTGTCAAAATCACACACCCACCGCAGAGCGTACGCATCTCCAGCACTCTTGAGAGTAAAATCCCTGAATGTTCTTGCTTCCCCTGAGACTGTGCCGTTTTTCACATTCTGTTTGTTCCAATTTACTCCAAAACGATGTGTGTGCAAGCAGCATTGCCTCTGGATAACCCAGTCTCGTTCTATCTGAGCAGAAAATGGCGGCAGCAAAGGGAAAGAGTTCTAAAGAATCAGATCTACGGTTTTTTTTCCTGAAAAGCAAAAAAACAAAAAATAAAAAAGTACTGCTTTAAGTTTTTGACCTTAAACGATAGCTGCGTTTTAAAGCTCAAAAGTCACACTTTCCCACTTATGCCGACATCATCCTCATATGCATCAGATTAAGTCTGTGCGTTTGCTGCATGTACAGGCGCCCTGTGGATGTGCATCGTGCTGAACCCCCACTGCAAGCCTGAGCAGAAGTCGTCGTGGCTGCGGCAGCTGCGCCGGTGGAACAGCGTGGACGTCTGTCCCTGGGAGGACGGCAACCACGTCAACGAGCTGCCCAACCTCACCCACTCACTGCCCCAAGGCGCTCACGGTAACCAAGGTGAGAAATCTCATGTGTCACATTGTCACAAGATTGGTACACATTTTATCACAAACTTCAAAATAATACTTTGGGATTTAGTCATGTACCAACAGAGAGTGGCACTTTATTGTGAAATAAGAGGTTAATCAACCAGGTTATAGAATTTAAATTCAGTTTATTTATGAAGCGTCAATTCAGTTCAACCACACATATAGTCCAACTCATTTAAATCTCATGTTAAACAGGTCTCTGAGATTTTCTTCTTTCACCCTCAAAATAATAAAAATGTATGATTTACCAAAACCATAAATATCCTCTCCAAGAGTGATGCAGAAAAACTAGTCTGTCAACATGGTATTTTATTTAGATTTTATTTTATGCTCATACTAATTTAGCCATTCTCGCCAGAAATTGATAGATGCATGACGGCACAGATTTTAAAATAGTTTTGAAGCTGTTGGAGCTCAAACCGTCTCCTTCCTCTGCAGAGATGCGTCCCCACCGGACTGTGTTCACGCGAGCCATCGAGGCCTGTGACCTGCACTGGCAGGACCGACACCTCCAACACATCATCGCCAGTGACCTCTATGCCAACTACTGTTACCATGACAACCAGGAGGGCTCTCTCTTCGACTCACGCGGCTGGCCTCTGTGGCATGGTGAGTCTGCACATATATGTAGGTTTCAAATGCCTTGTTTAAACACTGAAATTGGGCTCTGACCGCCAACAGCAGGAGCCGGATTATTAAGGTGGGACTTGTCTTTTCCTCAGAGCACGTCCCTACGGCCTGCGCTCGGGTGGACGCCCTGCGCTCACACGGTTACCCCAGAGAAGCCCTCCGCCTGGCCATCGCCGTGGTGAACACGTTACGGAGGCAGCAGCAGAGGCAGCTGGAGCACTTTCGACGACACAAAAAAGGTAGCTGTGGTGCTTTTGTTTGTAGATTGAAAAAGTCAAAGCTGCTCTAAAAATTCACATTTATATCCGAATCTAAATTAGCTAAGCAGAAATGTAAAGCTTCTCTTGCTGAAAGCATTGTTTTTGATTTGTGTGTGGTTTTATGCTAAAACACCAAGTGATGAGTAGAATTGAAACTGATGTTATTATTAGGACAGAGAAAGATATGCATACGTGGATCGCAATTCCCTCTTCTGCTGCTACTTCACTCTTTGGTGGTGTAAAAAAGAGCTGAAAAAAAAAGAGCTAAGCTCTCGTTTTCTCAGTTCATCTGCAATCTTTCGATGCCCAAAAGAACGAGGTACCTGATAAGAGCAGCTGAAATTAGCTTTCACTCTGGGGTGGCTGGACTTACTCTTTGAGATAAGGTGAGGACATCAGAGCAAAGCTCCTAGGCATCAACATGAGTCATGTGATGTGATTCAGGCATCTGATCAGGATGTTAAGGGATTTTGCAACTGTAAAAATAAAAAACAGACCCGGTGTTGTAGGCCTCAACCTCTCTGGATAGAGAGGTTGAGGGATATATCCCAACCTCTGCCCTCATTTAACAAACAATATAGACAGTTGGTAGATAATAAAGCATTAATTGGAATTTAACTTGGGAACAATAAATTTAGATCCTTATCATGTTAAGAAATGTATCACAGAAATGATAAGTGATACAGTAGTAATAGTTGCTGTGCTGTTTCATCTCTATATCTGTTCTGGGTACTAAAACTCTTTTCCTACGCGTGTGGTTGTTCAGTCCCTTGTTCCCTCTCTTCTGGGCTTGGGCCGTCAACAGAATGATCTTGATGGTGTCAATTTGTAGTGGATGGATTTCGAAGTAGATCTTGTTTCACTCTATAAAATAAATCCCAATCATTCAACAATTGCTTGAATATCTGTTCACAGAGTTGCTCCATAAAGGCCACACCTCCATAACGAACATGGAGGGCTGGGTGGGACACCCTCTGGATCCCATCGGCACCCTGTTCAGCACCCTGACGGAGTCGGGACGAGCGGGTGAGGAAGGCTCCAACACCTGCTTAGACCTCTCAGGTACTGATGAGTCACATGAACAGAATCAAAGACTAGTTTCCATAATACATCTGCTATTATGGAGGCCATTGGCGTAGGAACCGGAGGAGACACCCGGTAATTTGAGAAGAATTTTGAAATCTTCCAGTCGCGTGCTTTTATTTTGAAGGCGCACCACAGCGCCTGCAGCAGAGCGCTTCCTCCTTCCGCCCCCTCTGAACCGCTCAGAGAGCTGAACGGCAGGAGGAGGCAGCGGGAGTCAGAAGCTCCGTTTGAACGAGGTAAACGGTCTGCTGGCAATGTTCCCGTGAATATCGCTTGTTTATCTCTTATAACGTCAGTTTACTTTCAAATATAGAACTAAATCTTTTTGGTTTAGCCGTTTTAATTCTGGAATCGTCACATGTCCAAAGTTTTACAGCTAACTTAGTCTAAAAGTTAGCTACTATGCTAACTAAGCCGCTGTTTCATTTCATCAGAATGAGACTTGAAACAGCAGCAAAATGAGCCTTTTTGTTACTTAAAGTGAGCAATGGCTACACAACACCTGATCGTACTCGACCACTTAATAATATAATACAAAACACATGTTAATATAATATCATATATATATATATATATATATATATTTTTTTTTCTCAAATGTATTAATGCCCTCATTGAACAAACAATATAGACAGTTGGTAGATAAAGCATTAATTGGAATTTAACTTGGGAACAATAAATTTAGATCCTTATCATGTTAAGAAATGTATCACAGAAATGATAAGTGATACAGTAGTAATAGTTGCTGTGCTGTTTCATCTCTATATCTGTTCTGGGTACTAAAACTCTTTTCCTACGCGTGTGGTTGTTCAGTCCCTTGTTGCCTCCTCTGCTAACAAAAATAGCCCTCTACACTAAAGAGGAGCAGTTAGCACAGAATCCCTCCTAATGTGTTCATATGCATTTTAGATGCCCACTTAGAGCTGCTTTCGCAGGATCTGCAGGGAATGTTCATGTAAACTAGAGTCATCTCTCATCCAAAACCCCAGAGAGTGACACAGACATCACGGCGTTGTATTCGCAGATTGCTCCAGCGTCGTGAGCCGAGCCGATCTTCAGCGGATGCCCGTGCAGCGGCTGCTGGGAGATGGCGAGTCGTACATGGCTCTGGCGGTGGAGACGGCTCTGATCGGCCTGGGCCAGCAGCGGGTGATGCCCGACGGGCTGTACGCTCAGGAAAAGGTGTGTCGCAACGAGGAGCAGCTGTTGGCCAAGCTGCAGGAAGTGGAACTGGATGAGTCCCTGGTCAAAATCTTCCGTAAACAGGCTGTGTTTCTGCTCGAGGGTAAGCTGACCTACAGATTGATTCTTTCAGCTTTTACCGTCTGTTGATTTTTATTTCCCTAAATTTCCCTGCAGTCCGCTCTGGTATAAATGCACACAAATATATACACACCAACGCCTCCTCCCTGTCATTTCATAACCTACCCACTCACGGAGAGCCAAGGCATTCCTGCTAAAACAGAAAAAACACATTTGACTCTGTCTCACTATTTATTATCCTTTCATTTTGTGGCGCAAATAGAGGCTGAGCCGTCCTGGGCCAGACCAAAATGAGCTCTTTACACAGCAACGCCAGGGATATTGTGTCAGCACACATATGCCGGTACACACAAAAGTGTGTGTGCGTTTACAGGAGCTGGAGTTGGAAGAGAGCGAGTGGGTTGTGGGGAAGAGGAAGGAGGGACAGAGGTGGTGGTGGTGGTGGAACCGACCGAGTCAGACTCGGCTGCAGTCCCCACCCAAATCCCAGACCTGCCTCGTCCCCGGCGTGGCGCGACCACCCACCTCTGGCTCCTTCGCTAATAGAGGAGCTCGGGTCTGAGGCCGCTGTGGGGGCCCCAGGAGGCCTGCAGCCGCGTCGCTCTGTGAAGTGGTCTGCGGCTTAGAGGCCCGTGGGGGTTTAAAATAACCCACCAGAGATGAGGGGGGCGTAGGAAGATGCGAAGGGAAGGAAGAGGGCATGAGGCCAAATCCGCACACACGACCATATGTGTTTTGACGTCACGGTTTTGTTTAAATGCTGCGTGGCTCCCCTGCTTCCTGTCTGGAAGGGAGCGTCACTCCTCAGCATGCCACAGGAAACCATGACTCAGTCTTTTTATCAGCATGAAAAGTTTAAATTCCTTTAGTCTTGGTTTGCCACAAACACATTTGTTCATCAGCGTGTTGTGTTGTGTCGGTTCTTCTTCACAGCTGGTCCGAACTCTGGCCTCGGAGAGATCGTCCATCGAGAGAGCGTCCCCATGCACACCTTCGCTCGCTATCTCTTCACCTCTCTGCTACCTCATGACGCTGAACTGGCGTACAAAATTGCACTGAGAGCCATGCGGTAGGTCTTCTTGTGAATAAAGTTAATCCCTGTGAAGGTTCATTAAGACTTCAAAGTTGGAGTGAACTCCTTTAACAGGGTCCAGCTGGGGTTTTTAAAACCTAATGTGAAAAATAATGAAAATACTGTATAATCAAAACAAAACGTACAAAAACCTAAATTAAACAACACATATTTTGTTTTTTGTATCAGAAGTATAAAAACGTATTTAATTTTTTGAAGTGCATTGTTTGTTCAAATAGGTTTGATCAAATGGGAAGAGGAAAGTTGCTTGGTACAGCGCTAATACTCTTGCTACGATCAAGATAAGTGCAACCTCTCTCCCCATGTTTAAGTTGAGCTCCTCACTTCAGAGCAGCCTTTCCTCCGGTTCCATGTCTGTTCTAAGTTCAGCCAGGGACGCCCCTCTTGCCTGACGTGTCCACACCTTGCCCGTCTTATCCCTCCATGTTTAGCTCCTGCGTATTCTCAGCTGTAGACGACGTGCGGAGCATGCGCGCGCGTGCTAATCGCCCTGCGCTGCTCTGTTGTGATGTTGTGACTTGTGGGAGCTGGATCCGTGAATATTAATTACATTAATGAGAGTGTAATTAGCGCAGCTGTAATGAGGAGGAATCACACGCACATATACTCGAGTACACACGTCGAGGCGACGGGGGAGAGAAGGGTGGGTGTAGAGGGGGGATGTTTGTCTTTCTGTGAAGCTAAACTGAGCTGATCAGGTTAGTGGGGGGAAAAAACGATCATTTTAACGGTCTTTCAGACTGACTCGATGGAGGTAGTGGTGAGAAATAAAACACTCTTTTCTGGTGTGATTGGAGATTCTGACGTTAGTGCAAATTTATTTTGTCATTCTACTCGCTCCTCCCAATGAGCAGGGACTCACAGCCGGCCAAATCGTGTCCATCCCAGCGGTAGCAGACAGGTGGTGTTCACCTCTCCACACGTAATGAGCGCTTGAATCACTGCTGGCTCATTCCTTCAAGGCAGTGGCGTCACTTTCCCACACTGCTATTGTCAGTAATTTTCTATTTTTGTGAAATGCATAGAACCAAAAAACACAGACGTTTTACTGCAACGAGTTAAAAACAAAGCTAGAATAGAGAGAAAAATTTAGTAAAGAGCTAAAAAGAACACAAAAGAAATGTGTTCAAAAAGTGCTAACATTTTTCTCTTGGGTCATTTTTACTTTGTAGTTTTAAAAAGTTTTAAAACTCTTAAGAACATTATCCCCCCCATTCTCCACCTCTTGGCAAAGATCACTGCAGTTACATGAAATTTGAACATTATGCAAATTACGTGACAGTGTAATTTAGCGACTTTTGAGGAATTAGCAACTCTGGCTCAGGAGGTGAGTGTTTTGAAATACAGCAGAAGGATGACAGACACTTCTAAACATGTTAGTATATAGAAAAATAACATCCTCCTTATAGCAGGCTGACAGGCTCTGTGTTTTATCCAGCTGCTGGCCTCCAAACCAGAGTTCCCAACCTGTTTTTAGTGAGTCAGTCACTCTCTTTCCATCCTCACCACTTCCCCTCACCTTTTCCTTTTTGTCCCCTTGCCTCCTCCATCCTCACTCCTCTGGTGTGAAACCGGCGATTTAGAATAATACAGCCACTTACGGGTGCTCCTGGGAACCAGAGGTGTCTACTCAGCACATAATGAATGTGTGTAATGTAGCGTAGTGTAATGTGATAGCATATACCTCCTCACTCCCACGGGACAGCGGACAGTTAAATATAGAGGAGGAGGTAAAGTAACCAGGTCTCTTTTAATGGACCTATTATAATACTATCATTGATAAAAGAGGAGACAAAAGAGTCGAGCTCTTCCTCCCTCACATTGGTTTCCCCCCCCCTTTCTCCTCGCTTTTTAAAATTTTTTCTTCTCCGTCGCACTTGCTCCACAAGTAACTGTCTTTTTAAATGAGAAGTCAGACTGGCAAAGTATGCGGATTATTCAAAGCGCTGTGTGTGTTGCTGCGTCTTGGATGAGGTTAATTAGTCGGTGTGACACCAGCATATGCTGGCCGATGGCTTGGTGCGAGTGACCAGCATTAAAATGAATAAATAAATAAATAAATGAAAAGAGGATCTGCCTGCTGGTTCACAGGCTGCCCGCAATTTGATTTCTGCCAGAGAAACAGAAGAAAAAAGTCACTGCCTCTTCAGACTGTGCTCATCTTAACTGTTTGTGAGCCAAGGAGAAGAGACCTGCTGTTATCGTGGGAGAGGTCCAAATGAGATGCAAGTTTTCCAGATCTGATAGTGCTAGATTTTTACTGCATAATGCATGGTCTTTAAGCAGGGGGAATGTTTAGTACAAATTGGCAGAATTCTAAAGCCAGATATCTTAGGCCTATTTAAATGTTTACTAATTTTAAATAATTTGATCTTGTTCCAGTTTTGGCCAAATATTTGCTGTTAAATGGAACAATCAGAGTGCTTTTGTATGTTTGCCAGGAATGTATCAACACTTTGCCAAAATCTGTCGTTCATCCTAAAAGCATACACTGCCTTGCATAGAAGCATAGCCACTGAACTATGGCTACATGAGCATGCAGTTTCATGATTTCATCCTGCACTTTCTTTCTTTACAACTGCAAATATTGATATATTTAATTTAAAATAAGATGCATGCATTTAATTCCATGCATTTGTATTCACCCACCTTTACTCTTCTACATGTATGATATGTCTGTTTGTTTTGCACCATTTATAAACAAGGTTCTTTAAAAGTGCTGTGCAAAAAAATAAATGAGCAAAGTTAAAGAAAACTGCAGTCCAGTGGCATGCGAGCATAGCAGCCTGTTACAGCAGCTCTCATGAAGCAGTCTGTCCCTGACGGAGCTCTAAAATTCACCAACAGTCTCTCACCACCCAGGCTTCCAAGCATGTCTGTTGCATCCTCATTGCGTAAAGAAGCATTAGCATAGATCCTTCCTCCCAGTAGCTGTTGGGCTCTATAACTATCACTGCTTCCAACGAACTCAATAGGTGTTTAATTCTGAAATTTGCCGTTTTTGTCATTTCAAATAACATTTCTGCTGTTATTTCATTTAACTGCAGTATTTTGTTATAATTTTTCACTTCCTGTACAGCATGTTATTCTTAATCCTGATTTTATGTGTTTCATATTTTTTTCTACATGCTTTGATTGCCTGTCAATGTGCTGCTGTTTCACTGGCATTTTCCCACTTTGGGACAAAAAGGGTATTTCTACTTCATTCTACTCAATTAAAACAGAGCAAAACATTGAAAGAATGGCATCAAGTTTAAGCAGTTCCTAAAAAGGAAGGAATGTTAACTTCTAAGCTAATTTATATATCTGATGAAATATCATCTGAAAGTTGTGGTCAGTCCTGATTTGAAGGAGCCAGCAGTTTCTGCACATTCTTGCTGAAATAACCACTTATGCTGTATGTGTTGTCCTTCCACTTTTAAAGAAACTTTGAAAAGACATTTTAGTCTTTGAATAAAACGCTGATGTATAACCAGATAGTTTCTGCGTCGTGCTGTTTTTATTTAGTAGGCAAATTGTCATTTTGATCATCACCTACACTTTGAAAAAACGAAAGAAAGATATTCCATGTTTGGTCATGTACGAACGACTTGGTCCTTCTTGAAATTCTCCCCTTGAAAGAGTTTGTGTATACAGTCGAGATCTTCCACCGGATGTGTCGCATGTAGCTGATAGATGTGCGTTTGATGAATGGTGAAAGTGAAGGCTGTTTACAGTCGGAGGGGGAAACGCAGCATGAGGTAAAGAGGTCAGTCGTCATGGTGATGCAGAGCAGAAACCCGAAGGGCCTCAGGATTTAGGTAAAACCTATGAGGACTGCTTTTTCTCATCATCTCATTTGAGCCTCTTTGCTACAGATTTTCTTTATAGTTCATCCTGTTTGTGTCCATAAATAAACTTTGGCCATCAGCAGGCTTACCATTTTGCCTGCTGTTCTCCTGCAGAACTGTTTATGAAATGTCTAATTACATGTGTGTATCCTTGTCCATGGGCTGCTTCTGTTTTTACTAGGGTCTAATCATACATCCATCTCACAAATACCAGAGGTTGAACATTTCCGTTTGTCTCGCAGGCAGAGAAAATATTCCACTTTGTTTCAAGAAATCTACCTACAATGGCTGTTTGATATTCTTGTGCAGATTTGGCTACTCTATGTTTTGTTTCTAATTCTGAAGTGGTCCTTGTGAATAAAATATTGAATTTCACATTCAATAATAACAATATAAATAATATATATAACAATAATAATATAAAGGCTTCATTAATTTAAAACCATAGTGTCAGGATAGTTCTTCAGCTTAGCACCTATGGGAGCCACTGAAGCAGATGCTAACATTTAGCATTGTCAGCGGACACGAGGGTCAAATCTTGTTTCTATGATAAGAAAAGAAGTTGAGGTGGTGGAGCGTACATGCCTCGTTCTCTCACCTGAACAACAAGCTGAATGTGCATGAAGTAACTGAGCACAGTTTACTTCTTGAGAAAGGATATGTGCTTCGAGATTTACAGCAAATTGCTATGAAATACTCTACATGTCTCTTGTGGAGAGTGTAATCTCTTCTGCCACTATCCGTTGGGGCAGCTGCATCAGAGACAGGGACTTAAAATGGCTCAACAACCTGATAAAGAAGGCTGGTTCTGGTCTCGGGACGACTGGAAGCTTTGGAGATGATGGTGCAAAGACGTGTTTTACATAAAATCAAGAAAATTAGTCAAGGCAGCACTGGTCTTCCGTCGGAGGCTTCTTCAGAAGCCCTGTCTTTAAAGGTAATTGTGTAGTATGTGTATTCTCTCTGGGATCAATAAAGTATTTTTGAATTGAACTGATCTGAATCATCTCAACTGAGATATTTTAAAAAAATATGGGTTGTCAAGTTCACGTCATTGCTCATTGGAGCTAAGAAGCAGATTCTCACGTTAACATTGTTAGCATCTAATAGTTATATACTATTTCTATATTTTTAGTGTTCTACAATTCATTCGTAGTTTGCTTCTTATTCTGTTGCTTTTTAATTTATTTTACCCACTACCCAAATGCTGCCAGAGAAAGTTATTATCAAGCATTGTCAGCATGTTTATTAGACAACTTTGTCAACGCAACAGTGATATAAGTCAAAAATGCTACTTTTTGTACTTCAAAATAAGTGTCTCATAGATGGAATGTATGAAGGTTTTAAAGAATCTGCCGTTAAATCAGTCCTTTAGTAACAATGGCAACTCTGATGCCAAAACTTTTTTATCTTGTATGTCACTCTTTCATTTCTTTTTACTTACAGATTGATAAATACAGTAACTTAGTTTTATTGACCAAACCAAAGATATTTGCTGACTTCATCAACACAACAGGGTAACAATTCTACATGTATTTAAAACATAGACACAGGCGATTTTAAATAATTTCTTCTTGGGTGTTTGTTCAACCTTGTAAAAAAAATCCTCAGACAAATGATAACGTGAGCATTGTTTGCTGCTAAAATATTTGAGTTTTAGGATTAAAGCATATGTCCATTTACTTGGACTTATTTCAGCAGATGATGTTATGTGCTAGCAAACTTCACTTTGCCAAAAAGGCATAGCACTTTAATATTGCTTCCATAGTCTTTATAGTTATTGATGACACATTTCTTTTTCATCATGGTTGTAAAGAAAAGCGGATTTAATTTGTTTTCATCACACTTGTCAATGACTTGAGAGTTTGTTTGGCAATGTCCCAGCATTTAAAACGAGTACGCTCTGTTTGGCAGGGGGTGCAACATGCTCAGTGAGAATGCATCACTGAATAAACTCTCCTTGTGTTATTTTATCAAGCAGCCCACAAAGACTTTCAAGTCCTTTTTGTAATCATTTTTTATTTTGTTTTTTACTGAATAATAACCTGGTACAGCTTTTTCCTCCCAAACCTTTTGAGGAAACTATTTTTCAGTCCTCTCAAGTTCTTATCCAATGGAGGCCTCTGGCTCTCTGGTGAAAACAAAACAAAGACAGGAATGTTGATGAGGCCTCCATCTTTACTCAAGGTTCTTTTTTTTCTTTTTTTTTTACCTCTGCTTTGCAGTTCTACACCCCAGGAATCTTTGTGAAGGCCCCAGTGTGGTAGAAGCTTTTAGCAGCTCCTCAGTTGTATGTGGCGTGAACTCTGCCGTTGCTGGAGCTCGCGAGCATCTCCATTTTGCAGCAAGTGCTGGTGTTCACACTTTTGTTTTTTTTGTGTGTGTGTTTTTTTTTAGCGCTTTTGCTGTCTGAGAGCTAAGCCCTCCCCTTGTGCTCTTGTGGGCAAAAGTGAGCAAAAGACAAGACTGTTTTCTTTTTTGTTCTTGTACATGCCTTCACTCACGTGGCAGCAGGATCACATGCACTTTGCTCTGAAATTGAAACTGGCATTTAGCATCACGTTGCTTTTACCAGGCAGCTTTGATGTGTTTTCAAAAGGGCAGGTGTGTGTGTGTGTGTGCGCGCGCATGCGATGTGGGTCTCTTTTAACTGGTGTGTGTTGGTATTTGTTTGATGTGTGTCCAGCCTTACAGGGCTGGAAGGTGAATTCCTTAATTTCCCCACGGACTCAATTAGCTTTGTGATTGGCTGAGAGAAGGCCAGGTTGTGCCGTCTTCTGAAGGAAAGGAGACCTTTGAAACTGAGGTGGGAGCCGAGACAGGAAAGAAAAAAAAAAGTGAAGTAGAATAGGAGATGAGCAGGCCACAGTGGTAATCGTATGGGGCTCCTGATGCTCCAGAAGCCTCGGCCCCGTCTGGATTATTATAATAAGAGACAGAAACCTGAGAAGCTCTTCCATCCTCCAGCAGGTGTTGCACAACTCTGACTTCATTATGACCAATTAGAGTGAAGAAAATACTAATTATACTTTAGTTTCTAGGTGATTAAATGGTAGGTTGAAAGTAAATTGCAGGGATAGGGTAACTGAAATCCCCCCGGTGGCGACTTGAGTCATTTTCATTTTGAAGTCACACTCAGAGCGCCATAATGAAGACTTTTTCTGTCTATGCAGTATTCCTGTCTGACTGCTTGTTACAGTCGGAAGAAAGAGGTGATTTCATTATGATGTTGATCATTTGGGCAACTTTAATGTGGTTCTCTCTGATCACCAACCCTCATTTATCCTTCTTCTGCTTTTTCATATCCAAAGTGGGTTTTTTTTGTCATCATCATTTTGTGAAAGTTTCTAATTATTAAAGTAGCAGAAAACTTTAAAAGTGATGTGATACATTTAAAATGGAAAAAGTATCTCACAAAGAACACCCTTTTCTCTCTTTTTTTAAAAATGTGTCTCAGGTTGCCGGTGTTGGAGTCCACGGCATCGTCCGGTGACCTCTCGCGACCTCACCACATTGTGTCTGTAGTTCCCAACCGCTACCCGCGCTGGTTCACCCTGAGCCATATAGAGTCTCAGCAGTGTGAGCTGGCCTCCACCATGCTCACAGCAGCTAAAGGTGCAAATTCACTTGCTTCAAAAAACAGGCTTACTTTCTTGTAGGCATTTCATTATTTACTAAGATAAAGATACACCTAGCTTACTTGAAGGCCAACTTCTCTTGCCTTTCCCGTTTTAAGAAATATGGAACTTCTGTGTTAAATCAAAACTATACCCCAGGAAAAGAGGAAGTAAAGCTTTGCTAATTAAAAGCTTCTACACCTTCGGAACCAATTTAATTTAGACACAAATTGCAATAATGCCTGAATTAAATTAGCGGTACCAATAATTGTGGCACAGCTAATTTTGTTGACAATTACTTCTCAATCTTTTGTCCCCTACCAAATGAAAGTTAAGTAGCAGTCCATCTAAAGCTTAGATTTAAGTTGATTAAGTGGTGACCTTACTCTAACTTATTTCTCTGCTTGTATCCTGATAGGTGACAGTCGCAGGTTGGAGACGGTCCTGGAGTCCATCCAGAAAAACATCCACTCCTCGTCTCACATCTTCAAACTGGCACAGGATGCTTTCAAGATCGCCACTCTCATGGACAGCCTGCCGGACATCACTCTTCTTAAGGTTTCTCTGGAGCTCGGACTGCAGGTGTGCAAACACATCTTCACTGGTGGTAGAAATGGCCACCCGCTTCTAGCAGTAATCACAAACCAGACGTTTGGTGGGTCATTTGTGTTTGGCACCTGAGGCTAGTGACTGATAAGCAGGTGAAAGGGTTTATTTCTTCCTAAAAATTTCAGATTCCTGTAGTTCTCTCTCGCTCTCTCTCAAAAAAGAAAAAGGAAAATCCATCTCCTGAAAACTAAAATGCATTTGAACACACACACACATTATGAAAGGTTATTTTTTCAATGTTTGGACATGTTCTTGCATGTTTGTTTAAAATTATGTGTGTTGATTTGGTTCTGTTCTTTTTTGTAGCATTAATTTGTTGCATTGCTGCATTTTATATTCACCAGTTGCTGTGAATGATGTAATCATGCAAATTCTGTACTGGTTTGTTTTGCTCTTAGGAATTACATTTATTCTAGAAATTCTACCAACACAGTCTTCCTGGACCAAAAGCTTCTAATCATAACTAAGCAAATACCTTTATATTTTGTTAAACTTTATCCTCAATATGTTTCAAGTAAATTATTTCATTCCTGCCTCAAAGGAACAATAGCATTCTTGCACCACGAATTTAGTTTTGTAATGATTTCTTCAAATATTTCTTTTATGTGTCGGTTCTGTTTTAAATGCGTTCATGTGTTTTGCTGAAAGAAAATTTATGAAATAATGTCTGAAAAAATAAGCAAAGCTCATAGCAACATGTTGCAATATCTAAATCAAAGTCCAGACGTCAGTATCACTGACATTAACCTCTATGAACTTAATCAAGGTTGTTAATGAGATTAGTTTGGACAAACCGTAACAAAAATGTTTTTCTGAATGCAGTGTTCTTATGTGTTTTGGCATTTTATAAATCCATCTGTATCTGCTCGACAGTCTGCTGCAAAATGAACATGAACTGGAAAGAGAAAAAGTTCAGCCCTTCAGAAAATGAAACAACTCACCTATCACTCTCTTCTCCATCACTTCCTGCCCTCTTTAGGTCATGAGAATAACTTTGTCCACATTGAACTGGAGGAGGAGGGAGATGGTTCGCTGGTTGGTCACGTGTGCCACTGAAGTTGGTGAGTCTTAATCCGTCATGAGCTCGATCTGCCATTGTCCTCCATATTTAACCTCATCTATCATTTTTATTTTTCCCTCAAAATGTGTCCTCCAGGTGTCTATGCACTGGACAGCATCATGCAGAGCTGGTTCACACTCTTCACCCCCACAGAAGCCACCAGTATTGTGGCGACCACTGTCATGTCCAATAGCACCATAGTTCGCCTGCACCTGGACTGCCACCAGCAAGAGAACCTGGCCTCGTCCGCCCGTACGCTCGCCCTGCAGTGTGCCATGAAGGACCCCCAGAACTGCGCCCTCTCCGCTCTCACACTCTGTGAAAAAGACCACATTGCCTTCGAGACAGCCTACCAGATTGTACTGGACGCTGCAGAAACGGGAATGAGCTACACGCAGCTGTTCACCATTGCGCGCTACATGGAGCACCGCGGCTATCCGATGCGAGCGTACAAGCTGGCGACGTTAGCCATGGCTCACTTGAACCTCAGCTACAACCAGGACACGCATCCGGCCATTAACGACGTACTTTGGGCCTGCGCGCTCAGCCACTCGCTGGGCAAGAACGAGCTGGCCGCCGTCATCCCGCTGGTGGTCAAAAGTGTGAAGTGCGCCACCGTTTTGTCTGACATTTTGCGGCGGTGCACGCTGACCACCCCGGGCATGGTGTCGGCGCTGCACAGCCGCAGGAACTCTGGGAAGCTGATGTCGCTGGACAAGGCGCCGCTCAGGCAGCTGCTGGACGCAACCATCGGGGCCTACATTAACACTACGCACTCGAGGCTCACGCACATCAGCCCGCGGCACTACAGCGAGTTCATCGAGTTCCTGGGGAAGGCCCGGGAAACGTTCATGATGGCTCACGACGGACACATCCAGTTCACCCAGTTCATAGACAACCTGAAACAGATTTACAAGGGCAAAAAGAAACTGATGATGCTAGTTCGGGAGCGGTTTGGCTGAGGGCGAGGCTCCTCTTCCACTCTAGTACTTTTCTATTAACTTGAGTCTGCCTTTTGAACTTCTTTTGGACTAATAGACAGGTAAGAGGGATGTGACTTGTAGAATGAAGCAAAAAGAGAAAGGAAAAGATGACAAAAAATCAAGAGCCACATGCGGTATTATTGTTCTTGCTGTTGTTATTGTTATAAACATTATTGCTATTATTATTATTATTACTACTATGTGTACAGAAGCGTTTTTTATTTTTAAGGAGAGAGGAAATTTGTCACATTGTGAATGTTGTGTGTACTTCTCTACATGTGTGCGAGATGAAAATGAAACGTGAAATGGCTTTTTGCTTTCTATATTTTTATGATTTTCAAGCATCTTTTTGCTGCCCTGCCCCCATTCTCAGTGTATATTGAGTTTTATGTTAATGAGTGGCTGAAGCCTTTGTACAATAGCGCTCATGTTTAAAAAACAAACAAAAAAAACAAAAAATCAAGAAAGAAAAAAAAAAAAACAGACCAATTTCAACGTCTCGGTATCCTCAAAGAGAAACTAAGGCTTTAAAATGACACAGAGCACCTCCCTTGGTCTAGGCCCCTGCTGATGGGCACTGGGCGGCATTGCACAGCTTCGCTCAGCTCGGCACAGCTTGGGTTAGCACTGACTTAAAAAAGGCACCATCAGCATTTCCTACCACACAGCAGCAGCACTTGAGCAGCCATTAGCTTTCTCTGGGTCACTTCCACACAACAATGCTCTTAGCTAACTCTTGTCGTTATAATTACTGTTATTATTATTGTCATACAATTTTACCCACGCGCCCTGTGATGACACATCAAAGAGTGAAGTATTATATCTACATTAATGCAACGCGTTGCAGGCGGAGTTCTTTATTGCTGAATACGTGACTGAATTGTGCTTTTCAAAAGAATTTGTACCTCCCGATCTTTCTCACATTTGGGTAATGTCGGAGACAAAGACATCAATGCTTGATTTTATGGCTTTTGGCCCAACACAAAATTGGGTATATTTGTGAAGTGAAAGGAAAATGATATGTGATTTTCAAATTTTTTCCGAAAACAAATTTCTGAAAAGTGTGCCAGTCATATGCATGTATTCAGCCCCCTTGAGTCAATACTTTGTAGAGTTGTTTTAGGGTGTGGATCCAGATTTACGCATCTGGATATGTTTCTTCTTTGCAAAATATCTCCAACTCAGATTGAAGGAAGCATGTCTTGCAGCAAATTATCAATTCGATTTATGTCTGGATTTTAATTTGGATATGAATTGAACCATCGGTGTTGCTGCAAACACTCTTGTTTCATCATAGCAGAGTGGTAGTCAGGATATTGTTCTCTGTTAGTTTTCTGCCAGTGATAGAGTTTTAGATTGCAAGCTGAATGTTTGATTTTGACCTCATCTGACCACATGTTTTTGTTGTTGCTCCATGGTTTGTGGCAGATTGCAGCTGGGACTTTGTTTGTATGCCATTCTTTCAACACTGGCTTCCTTCTTGGCACTCTTCCTTAGAAGCCTTACTTTTGGAGTGCACAACTAGGTCAAGGTCAGTTTTATATAAAGTATTTAAATAAGAATGTTGTACCAAAGTTTCTCAAAAGTCAGACATGTAACTACTGAAACTGTATGCTGGACACATCAGGGAAACTGTAAAACATGTCGAAAAGCAGAGACTTGAATTAGAACAAAAATATAAGGAAGAATGGTAGTTGTCTTGTCTCCCACATGAGCTGTGGATCTCTATATCTCCTCCAGAGTTCCCGTGGGCTTCTTGACTGATTCTCTGAGTAACACTCTCCTTGTCTGGCCTGTCCGTTTACGTGGATGGCGACAACTTGGCAGGGCTGCAGCTGCACCACTTATTTTTTCTTCCTCTTTTCAAATGTTTGAAGCTTTGGAATCTTGATTTTCCAGAACTTTATTGCTGACGTGTCTGATGTGTTCTTAGGTCTTCACTAAACTATTTATTCACCAATGTTCTCTAGCACTGAGTAAAGAGGGGGCTGAATACATATGCAGGCCACACTTTTGAGACTCAGAATCAAAGGGTATGAATCCTTTTGTAAGCAGTTGCGGTTATTTTTGCGCAAGGAATTTCTGGGGGGAGACGACTACCTCATGATGCGGTATTGAACCTGCTCCCAGTTTTTGCTGTCATAATATTTATTTACTATAATAGCTGACAGTGTTAATTAAAAAAAATAATAATAATAATGTTGAAATCCGGCGTTAAACGGAAACAAACAGTCAGAATCCTCCTGAAGTCCCTTCTAAGCTCTGCTGCCCCTCCCTCTTCCTCGCAGCCCTCACTGTAGGTTGTTTTCAGCCGAGGCCAGTGCCGCTCCGCTCTGCGCATGTGAATCACAAACATTTAGACTTTCTACTGTTATATTTCGTCACGTGGAACATTCAGCAACCGGAACGTTCTCAGGGATTTTCTCTACGCAGGAAAAAAAAAAAAAAAAAAAGGTGGAACAAATCGAACGTCTCATTTCGAGGATGAAAAAGGAAAGAAAAAAAAAACACGACATGAGCAAGCATTTATTGTACTCTGTATATATGCCATAGTATATGTCTGAATATGGAGGATCTGAAAGTATATGTTAACTAATTTATACAGAGTATTCTATGTAATGTGAAATACTTGAAGCCGCTGTAGTTTGCTCTCTTTCTCTTTCTCTCTGGCTCTCCATCGCTTTCTCTTTGTTGTCTTCTCTTTTTTTCTGTTTTCCTTTTTTTCGTTCAAATTAACATATCAGAAAGACTAGCATGACCTCCTTGAAGGTATTTTTTTTATTTTTGGACTTACAAAGCCACAAGTGTTCATGTTTGAGACCCTGGATTTATATCAGAAATGTAAGATTTCTCTCAGAGAGGATGACAGTACTTCAGTCCTGCTGCTTCAGATTACTGGTCAGCACAACCAAGAGATCGTGAAGATACTGACGCTTTTTTGCTGTTACACCATGAACTGCTTTAGGAAAAACTAAAATGGCATAATGTTTTTGTCCATGCATTTCAGAATATTTCTCATCTCCATCTCATTTTGGAAAAATATAACAGTTGCCAGAGCAGTTTTGTCAAAAGAAAAAGTATTAGGATCCCTGTCTGTAGTCGTACACAGGTTCAGAGCTTCAGTATCACAAATCTAGCTTTTAGAAAACGGAGCCTCCTCAGTTCTCCCTTCAGCTGCAGCAGAATTTCCAGTCTCCTCTGCAAAGTTCGCCGTAACTAGTCCCATAACTAGTCTTTTTTTTCTTTTTTCTTATTAACCGTACTTCTGACTTTTCTGTTTTTCATTTTTGTCTTGTCTGTGTTGTGTTGATTAAAGATAAAAAGCAGCCTTTTCTCTTGCCTTGTCTTAACGCTTTAAAGTAACCAAACAGAAGATCTATCTAACAACCAAACGCGTTCGAAAGAGGTGAGAGACAACCAACCTTTTGGTCCCAGCTTTAGTGTCCTTAATTAGTAAGTGAATGGCTGTGTAACTCCATGCTTTAACAAAGCAATTCCTCACGCGTGTTTGATGGGAAAAAAAGAATAAAATACGTCGTCCAGTGTCTCTTGTTCTCTTTGGAAACAGTTTCCTCTTGAGTCGTTTAGCTGTTTTATTTTATTTTTTTATTTTCTACTTTTTTGGTTTGTGTAGGAACATTCTGCGCTCTCATTTTATTTATTACAATGACCCATGTATACATGCTTATGAAATTAAGATTTGATACACCGATATCAATTTATTTATGTAACTAAATCACTGTTTTATAATCTTGTTAATGAGTCAATAATTGATTTGTTTTTTGTTTTAATAAAAGTTAGTTTTTTGAACTGTAAATTGTTTGAAAGCATTTTATGTTGTCAGCACACTGTTAAAAGAAAAATGCCTAATTTACGTTAAAATACCGGCAGTAAGCCGCTTTGCATATCTGCAGCTGGAAACTGGTTATTTGCTATAGCTTAAGATAATGTAGTTAAGCCCAGGTGACAATGGGCTGATTCACCAAATTTGAGTTAATGGAAGGCGCGCTTTAGCATGTGTTTTAAGACACTTATTAAAAAATGCAGTAAAAAGATCAATCGAGAGAATTGTGAGCCTCCACAATTCTGGTTCCTCCTTGGGTTAAATTTCCAGACAGCTGAAGTTTTCAACTTCATCTGTTCAAACAATTAACTGAAAGACAAAAATTCATGAAGGAGGTGAATTCTGTGTCCCTAGATGAACCGATTTGGTGCAAAATGAGTTTAAATCTACCCCAAACCAAAAACCAGAGGCCTTGAGAAAATAATGGAAGCTATGAGGGGACATTCTTTAAGTGTTTGTAAAAGTTAGAGATGGATTGACTGGCCATCCTGAGATACTTTAGATTATTTTACAGGTTTTATTTGACATGCAGTTTTTTTTTCCTCAAGAGTCAGAATAGAGAAAAGGGCAGTTTTAGAGACTATTTGAGTGCTGTTGGTATATGTTGGGCACATTTTCCTGCTCTCACATTTTGTTCCAGGACAAGTATTTAATACAAAACTAGTGTACGTCTAAATTATGCATGACTTGTTTGAAATATTATGGGTGGAACAGAATATATCCTCAAATTCTGGAATAATTCCAAAACTTTTGCAGGTTAGACAAAAGCCACAATAGATTTAATTCAAATGCATCATTTATTCATCATTCGTGGAAGTAATGAAGAGATATAAATTTCTAATCAACACCGTAACATTTTGTTTCAGAATGTTTGTCACGGAGAATTATGGGACGCGGCCTTTGAACCCACAGGTTCAGGCTGACGCCAGAGCTGGTCAGGTCTGCATCACACAGCCGTGTCAGAAATAAAGGCAGAGATGGATCACTCTCTCTGGCAGCAGCTTTCACACTGTCATCTCAGGCGAGCTCATGAGGAATATGAAATGTATCAATTGATATTCCCCTGGTCTTTGTAGCTTCTGTCAGGCAGCCAGGCTCAGCCAACCACAATAACCTGTTTACACGTTTCCAGCTCTGACAGTGGTGCCACAGGATGACTAAATCAGTGTATGCAGTTTGTCAAGTGTGTGCCCGCTTGTGTAGACATGCTTTTTGTGTGCTGTTTTCTTGTTTGCATGCCTCTGTATGTCTGCGTATGGTTTAATATGATGTGTGTGTGAGTCTGTGTGTTTAGGTCTTTAGGGAACCAATGGGAACAGGTGGTAGCTCCAGACTAAGGGAGCTCCTGTCAGCAGCAAGGTCCCCAGACTCCCAGCCCCTCATTAAACATTGACACAAAAACACTGCAACTGTCTGTGTGTGAACAGTAATGAAGCGCAGACGGCTACACCGGTGTACACACTGCAACTTAGCGCAGCACGAGCCCGCGACTGTGGGTTTGCGTGTGTGTGTGTGTTGTCCATCTGTGGGTACTCATTAATGAGGTACATTTGTCTACAGAGGTGTCCACTCAGATATTGAAGAATTTGTCAGGTTTAGTAACAAAAGCAGGAGTCTGCTGTCGGACGCCAGACAGGACTGTCCATTTCTTATGTGACGGATGCCTGCCTGTGAGAAATTCTCTGTGTGTATTGATGTGAGTAAGCATACACTTACTTTGTGTGTGTGTGTGTGTGTGTCTTAGCCTACTTCCTGTGTGTCTGACCTGTACTCAGGTCCCTGCTCACTTCCAGTTGGTAATGACGTCCCCTGGGTGCAGCACAGTGCAGCAGCCTCCTCCAGTCTGTCTTATTCTATACTTCTAATGACATCATGATCACACACTGGGCCCTTTCATGACAAAAGCCCTCTTCCTCACCATCACCATCAAAACTTCCTCTATCTGGAGCACTCATCGTTGCTTCTCTTTGACGTACACTCTCACTGCACCATGACTCTACATCATGGTCTTGACATTTTCTCATATAGTAGGTCCTTTATGTTGCATGCTCCCATACATAGAAAGCATCCATTGTTTAGGGTTTCTGTGCCGCGCTGTGGAACAGCGTTTGGCTCCTTACAACTTCCTTTTGCTTTTTTGCTGCATTGAAATGTTTGAGGTCATCGAGCAAATAGTAAAACGTGGGTTAGGATGGAGTACAGTTTTGTTATCTTTAATTAACAAAAAATGTCCCTTTTGTTAAATCACGAGCTTACTGTGATTAGCAAACTTTTGGAAAGCTTCATTCAATTCCAGTAGTTTTACTGTCTTACTACAGCAACCAAGAAAACACTTAACGAGAACCTAACTGACAACCTGAAGGAGACTAAAATTGATCTAAAAAAGTTGAAAGAACTATTAAAAATTTATTGTTAAGACCTACAGGATTTGTGACAAGACTGAACAACTGACGGTCACAGACACTCTTCACCCAATCCAACTGATCCAGCTGAACTTTAGCAATTTTTCAAAGCAGAATTGACAAAAGCAAATTCTAGAGGAAAGACAGTGAAGTGTTCTTTGAGATGCTTTAAAAAAAAAGGCTCATAAAATGTATTTGATACATTTGACATTGAAGTGTTTGTACCGTCTGATCCTGCACGAAAAGCATAAAAAGCCTCAATGTTTTTACTATGGTGCCAAAGTTAAACTGCACTGTAATAAACCTGAGGAAACAGGAAACTGCCTCTTGTTAAATATATTTTTTTCCTTATAAAAAAGTAATAAACAGAAAAATAGTTTTAAAAAAAATAGTTAAAAAACATAACTGAGAGAGAGTCCCAGAGGACACCTCGGTGAAGTTCAGCATTTGCATTACACAACTAATCATACAAGAAGAGAAAACAGTTTCGGTTTTCAGATGTTTTTTTTTTGCCCTTCGAGATGCTTTCCTTCTTCCTCTTTTCACTGAAGCATGCCTTAAGTCCATTTTCCAGGCTGCAGCTGTGAGAAGCAGTTTAGATTTTAGATTCTAAAGTGCTTTCTGCCTCTGACAAACTTTTCATCCTTGCAAGCAAACAGCAGAAATCAGAGGGTTACAAAATTGCTGTTTGTTGTTGCAGGTGGATGGAAGTCATTCATTCTAAAGAGGAAGCCCTCGGACCAGCTGCAATCCTGAAAATATTAGGTCCAGTTCAGTGAGACTTTAAATGTCTGCAGCGCTTTGACCTTGTAATCATCACATTTCTTACCAAGCTATTTTTCTCCTGACACATAAAATCAAAGGAAATGTAATGCTCCCTTTCATATACCGCCTGCCATCTAATAGGTGGCTTGATGGAGAATTAATCAGGGTTATTGACATCTGTGTTCAATATGGTGCCTGATGGGTGTATACAATGTTGACCAAGAAAAGCCGTACAGGCAGGGTCAGCCAAAAAAACTCATGTGCTCAGGGTCCCCAAACCAACAGGGGACAAGCAGCATTGTCGTGTTTACAACTGCAGATCTTTCAGATAATTTCAAAAATAAAACTTGTTAACCTTAATATTTCAAATTGAACAGATTTTGGCTGAAAACTTTGACTTTTCTGCTACGACTCCCCACCTGTCTGCAACCTTCTCATTGTCTGCTGAGTATTAGAGAAGCTTGTCTTCACCAGCAGTTTACCGCCATGCTATCTGTGCCAAACACAGTTTGGTTCTGCAAAAAGCATGAAACAAATTATACCTCTTCTCAAAACAAATGGGTGCAAACTCTCCTTTCAATTATGGAAGCAGGTATTAATGGTGAATTTGTGACATTGAATCGACTTTAAATGTGAGTATGAATGTGCATTGACTGGTGACCAGTACAGGGTATAGCATGTTTTTGCGCAATTGCTTCTAGGATATTCTCCATAGCCACACAGGGCTCAATAGGATTATCAGGTTAAGAAATTGATAGATGATGGCACTTTAACAGAGAGGTTCAGAAACCTACGAAAAACAGACATACAGAAAAACAATAAGCACATTGTGAGATTAAATCCCCAGGATCCCGATAACCCACTTCATTTCACAAGCATCCAATGGTTTATGCAAAACCAGAGGGATTTTCAAGCACAAGGCTTTAAGAATAAGCTTTATTACCACCAAATCCTCCAGAGTTTTACCCTTATCACTGCTCATTCACTGATCTACTGAAGGCTAGCTAAGAAAAGCTCTCAGCCAGAACAGTGTCTGCGAGTGCAGTCCATGTTCATCCAACTCTGCCTCTGTCGACAAAAAGGTCCAGGGCCTTTACGGTGCTTCGAGCTTGCTATCATTACAGGAGTACAAAAAGAGGATCACAGACATGTGTTCTTCAGCACAGCCTCCAGCATCGGCTCAGCCACCACAGGGACCGTCTCTCTTTGCTTCTCTTCACGCAGAAGGCCGCTAGAGTTTGATCTCCTCTCTCTTCCCTCCATTGGCCCCGAGGCGTCTGATTAAATGCTAATTAAAGCCGTTAGCGCTGCTATCACCGCTGCTAACTCCCCTCTCTCTGTCACAGAGATTAATGCCCCTCGTTCATCATCCTACCTCTCCCAGCCCGAGTACCTGCCCGCCTTGCAAAACCTGATCAAGTCATCAGCCCCCACCAAGCCCCTTCTCCCTGCGCCCCAACCCGTCGCACGAAGATGGACGAGGGGTTTAAATTTTAATTTGAAAATTGCCCTCAATTACTTCTGTGCCGACCACTTGCTGGAGCTGCTCGCGCGCTCGAGTGGGAAGGGGTTACAGCAGCAGGTCAGTGGCCGTGATGAGCGATAAGAGGACATTAATAAGAAAGGCAGAGGTTCATTTAAAAGCAGAAAGGACAGTGGGAGCAGCTTTCTCATTATTTAACTCCCCCAGCTTTATTTAAAGGACTTTATTTAAGGATACCAAGTTAATGTGTCCTCCAGGACAGACGGTTAAAGCGCCTGACAGAGTGAGAAAGTTACGGCCATAACTTACACCCTGAGCACACA